TTTTTCCAGATGGTCCAGGTCGTCAGCATTATTGGGTGCTCTTACTGCTCCTCGCTCTGGTACGTTATTCTTCCGGAGGTCCTTTGTCACAGGATGCACCAATTTATCAACAGTCAGGTAACTGGAATAGAAGAAACACTATTTATAATATATATTTATAAATAGATGAATATCAAAATATGTGTTTATGCACTAATTAAATATCGACTAAGTTCATTCATACTCATACTAAAAGATTTGCATGTCTTGTGACGTCTAACAATCAGAACAAAAAGTTGTTAAGTCACATTAGAAATCTATATCTGCGCAGCGAGAAATTACTTTGTTGATTCAAGAAGCATATTTAGGCAACCAACTTAAAAGACAGGAACTTAAAGGCAACCTACTTAAGGCAACCAACTTAAAGACAACAACCTAAAGGCAACCACATAAATGTGTGCATTTATGACAAAGTTAGTAAAGAATGCTAAACTTGTTTCCATCCGCTGGTGCTATCAATCTATTTATGGTCCGACCATTTTTTATTACTTCCATCACCAATATGTAGCATTGCATTTCATTTACACATCTTGACTTTGCTAAACGCTTAACAATTTTTCAAGAACTTGTATACGTGAACCAACTAATGGGCCGATTATGCCCATAACAACCCAATGTTATAGCAAGGCCATGTTACGCTCCAACTTCCATACATTGAATCGTACTGAATACCGTCAAAACGCCATGTATTTGCTGTTCATTCAGACGTTTTACACAAACTGCAACGTCACTCGCATGTTATGAAGCTGAGTCAGAAAGACCCTGTTAACAAAGATCGTTTGTTTGACATTTGTCGGTTTCTAGGTTAGGTTTTCTATCTGACGGCCTGACTGCACAGCAACCACATGGTTTTGTCAATATTTAGATCGAATTTGTATGGAAAGTTCTTTTATAGCCTTGCCATAACATTTGTCTGTTATCCGGCAGAATCGGTCCATAAATTTCTACGATCTTTGTCTATGATTAATTACAATTTGTTATAATTTTCAGCATTGACATCTGACTTTTCACCGCACAGCATCTTAAAGCGTTCGTTCTTTGACATTCAATGCAAAGGCGTGTACGACAAAGAATCTTCGCTCGTCTCGATAGAATATGTGAGGATTGCTACAATTTATTCAGAGAACCACAACTCCATGCCCTTTGCAAGTAAGTAATAAAAAAAAAATTCGACCATAGATTTGCTACCTAAATTTAGTGAAAGACTAAAAAAAAATTGGATGATTTAGGAAAAGTCCTTTTGAATGAATTGAAGAAAGTACAACAGAGGAATCAACCTAATTCATATGATAATATAAACTTAATTGGTGCTTTACTAGTATACCAAAAATCAAGCACCACTGTTTAACTCTTTTAAATCTAGTTTCCTAGTTGTTTACCAAATCTATTTCATTTGCTTCATTAAAAGAAGTTTTGAAATAGAGAAAATATGATAATAATCATTAGGAGAAATCCATAAATTAACAAGACATGTAATTAGAAGTATTTCTATCAGAAATTTACTATATAATTTTGATGAATTTTAATAATACATGATATATTTCTTAAGTTTTAAAAATGCTTTTAATCCCATTTAGTTTACGAGGACTTAAGGTAGTTCAATGATTCACGCAAAAGCTTACATTAACAAAAAAATATTTAATTTAGGTTTTTATGGCAAGAGAAATGAAAATATTGCATTATAAAATGCAGTAACTTGAAAATGATGTACACCCATACCTCATTTTGAGTCGATTTAAGTTCCTAAACAATGCAAATTGAAACGACGCAATGTAAATTATGATTTTTTACATCAAAGCAAGTAAAGTAAAAAATAATATAACATTTCATTATATTAATACAAAAATCATTTAATAATATTTAAAAAATAAAGATTAAAATACAACACATATTAAGTTTGTCTATAGGAAAGCACCTAAAGATTGAAGTTAGGTATCAAATTCACGAAGATGCCTGTTTTTGTGAAAAAAAATGAACAAAGTAAGCGTTTCAAAGCACAAAATAAATATACAATTTTAATCCTTGCATACAAGACACAAAAAAGTATTAAATTCAAATAGACTGTTCAAATAATTTCTGGAGAACAACTTCTAATATAATCACTGGTTAGACTCTAACCAGTGATTATATAGAAGTTGTTCTCTCTAACCGTTAGAGACTGTTGTCATACAAATTGATCCAAATATTTTTCCAACAGTTTCTTTTTAAACGTAAAATGAACTTACTTTGTTATAAGTGATATTTCTGCAAGCAGAATTGTTTTTTTTTTAATTTGCATAGTTCCATCAATCAAATACATGTACTAACTAGTGGTGCATGGCACCATGCCTTAAGTCAAATTGCTGGAACTTCCCATACCGAAAACTAAATTATTAAAAAAAAACTT